CCACACAAAATGGCTCTCTTCATCTTACTCCGTTTCTCGAAACGTGCCTGGGCCAGCTCACACATCTTGTCGCGGCTAAGGCAAAGCATGTCGGCCCCGGAGTCAGCGCGGGCTTGTCCCAGGTAGCTCCAAGTTGTCCAAAGGCAGTGCTCGCAGAGCCAATCACCTTCCGATAGGCTTGACACCTCGGTCACCTCGGGTACCGAGGAGGGCAAGATCTGAGCCCAAGCGGCGTTGGAGATGGAGCCTGTCACTGGAGGTAGGCGAGCCTTGCTGTAGGTGATGACACCACGCACTACAAAAAGGAGGCTCTCACATTGCCCGCCAGGCAGAAAGAGTGTCTCTTGTGCCATAATGTGCCACTCGACAAAGCAACGGACGCACAGCTCACGCTGGAAGGCCGTGTACTTGCTACAAAGGCTGTGCAGCAAGGAATGGCCGCTGACGACGGGAGTGAAGGCCTCACGGCACAATTCCTCGTAGAGAAAGTGAGGCAAGGACCCTGCCAGCTCTTCTTTGCCCGGCGGCGCCACCCGTGACATGTGCCGGCGTGCGTAGCTGCTGAGTTGCTGCTCCAAGCTCTGCGGCACCGGGTGTGCCTGCAGCATCGACCCTCATCTGAAGACTCTAAGCTCAGATTAAGACTAAACCATAACATAGCAACAGGCAATACAATATGATAAAAAGCTCCGCACACCCTCAGCTAGAGCCCAAACTACCCCAGCTGTGTCTCCTCGAGGAAATCGCAGAGCTTGTCCTCTGCCTCCTTCTTTATACGCTTCAATCGACGCAAGTCCGAGATGTCGTTGGTGACCTCGAGGACGCTCGCTTGCTTGGGCCAAAAAGCGTAACGGAACCCTGTGTGACAGAAACCAGGATCCCAAACAGCTTCTGCAGCCGAGCTGCCACCGATGTAAAAATGGACGCAAAGAGCACAGCAAGCGCAGTGCTGAGAACCGCGAGTAGCCGCTCTGCCTGGGTCTGTAGCTCCATGTTTTCGGTGATGCGTGCCGGCGGCAGCCTTGACAAGGCCTGCAAAGCAGTGCAATTGCGACCTACACCATGACCATGAACGCTGACTGAGCCCGAAGCCCGAAACAGGCCTAAAACCATAGAGTGAGTCTGCAGACAGGAGGCCCACTCCATGCTTCGGACATACTGCCTATGCCACGGGACGCGAGCCAACTGAGCATCTTCAGTCCAACCACCCATTTGCGAGCCAACGCCGAACCACGCACAGGTCAAGCAATGCAAACAGAACAGGGACGCCAGCCCCATCCAAGATACATTCCAGGTGGCACGCACTTCCCGGCTTGTCTTTCGCAGCACGTTGTGTGTAAAGGCCGCTACTCCGGAATGCTCGTAGTAGTACGGGAGGGTGCAGAGCCGCAGGAGCTGCATGGCAGAGACGCTGCCCCACGCAAACGGAGCTGAGGAGGAAGTGGGCCTCCACAACGCAAGGCCCACTCTCCCGACCACCAAGAAGGCCTCCAAGGAACCGGCTTGGGGTTTAGATACTGGTTGAGATCTTGGAGGAATTTTCAGGGTTTACGGATCAACGAAGAGGCCTCCAAAATCCACGCGGCGAGCCGCCTCCTCGACCTCTCCACAAGCTTCCGGGCTTCGACGACTAGAAGAATCGACCAAAAAGCGATCGTGATGCCGTCAAGGAGGCCATGATCCAGGCCGAAAGCGTACAGGGGAAGCACCATCAAGTCCAAGAAGATGAAGACCACGCAAAGGAAAGACATGCCCTTGGCACACCTTGCGCGAACTCCCTTCTGTCCCGGTCCCAACGGTGCATGCACGAGTTCGAAAGACCTGCGGCGGGTGATGGTGCTCCTTCTTTTTTGCGAGGGTGACGCAGCGGCAGAAATCTGCCACTCCGGGTGCATCTCGAAGCGGTCTTTACAAACATCCTCCGCTGCCTCCTCCCGCACGGCTTGGGCTGACATAGCCCGGGAAAAGTCCTGCATCTTGCGGAGGGCGCTGTTGAAGGAAGGATGCTGTCGTGGCAGATCGCGAGATGACTTGGAAGAGCTCGGATCGGTGTGCGCCGTTGGGATTGCAATGCTCACGATTCGCGTTGACATGCCGGTCGAGGCTGATGCCATCTCCGGGGGTACACCTTCCGGCAGAGGCACTTCCTCCATCGCTAGGACGTCGTTCCCGGCAGCCTGCACACGCTGTTCTTCAAAAAAGGCCGAACGGAGAGCTGGAACACCAAGCATCGAAAATCTGGTTGACAGGCCAACACCCGGGAAACAGGGGGAGCCGCAAACAAAACATCAGTCAAGTTCCCTGCTCATGTGAAGGTGAACCCGCATCGAAACCAATCCATGAACAGTCCCCAAACAATCTGAAAGAATAAGTGACGCTGTTCTGAGCTACACATTCCCATAAGCTCCCTTCCCCCACCTCAACCTTACCACCCCAACCCCTAATCCTACACCCTGGGACTGTAGAACCCTCTATAACCCTAAGCCTCCAGACCCTTGAACCCATCCTCCCAAGCCTGTGACTCCAGGAGCTCCACAAGCAACCCTTCGATTTGCACCAGAACTTCTGGCAGCGTCCGGATCGCCATACTCATGGCAGAAAGCGCACGAGGGTTAAGTCAAGGGGAGCCAGCCCGGCCCATGCTGAAGCCGAAAGCAATCGAAGCTTCAAGGGGAGCGACTACAAATTTCTGCAAGAACTGGGCCCCCTGCAATGTCCAGCATAAGCTCCACATGTACCGATGCAGACTTTTTGTCGCAGATGCCCCGAATCCGAAACCTAAACCCAAAACCCGACTTGCTTCTGAAAGCGAACAGTCAAAAGCTCAGCCCGATGTGTACAGAATTACTCCCTGAAAAAGCTCAGGGCACTCCCTAAACCCTAAACCCTGGCAGGGTTCAGGGAATTTTCCGAAGCTTCCCGTGACCGGGCTTCGGCCCAAGGCTTCAGCACGAAAGAGATGATGCGGGCGAGTAGTTACAGTCCGTTTAGGGTGTAGGGTTTAGG